TATATAACATAAGAAACCGATTATACAGTAATACAGTACAGGATTCGGTCAACTTATTCATGGATACAGAATACTGTGAACACCTCTACACGCGATCCATTTTTATTGGACAGTGTTTTGGGTTTCATAACAAAAATCATATTTTTGTCATATGTTTGGTGTCTTATCCGTTATCTTAGGCTCTCATTGAAGACATCTCTCGGACGCAGACAATAGCGACCACTTCTGGCGCAGAGATGGCCCCTAAAGACAAGGTGGACAACGTTAACCACGCGACCGGAGAACCGGTGCGGATGAATGAGATGTTTGAATGGCCTACTCTTGAGGACCAGACCCAGAGTCCGATCGTGAAGGCCATGAGAGTCCTCACATCCGTCATCGACGGTCCCGTCGAATGGATCAGACGTACGGACACAACACACACCACACGTGTGTCTCACCAATGATTGCACTCACTATATATGCCTTAACTCTTTGCAGACAATGTGGTGGACAAGTATCGCGGCCCCAGTTATCCCTACTATCACCAGAAGTTCCGTCGGGTACACACACCACACGTGTGTCTCACCAATGATTGCACTCACTATATATGCCTTAACTCTTTGCAGACAATGTGGTGGACAAGTATCGCGGCCCCAGTTATCCCTACTATCACCAGAAGTTCCGTCGGGTGCCGACCATCGACCAGTGCTACACCGATGACCAGGCGTGCATATATGAGGCCAACCAACAGTACAACAGAGACAGGTATGTCACCCACCAATCACTTCCACCATCACTCATATCCATTCACTCATTGGTGTGCATGTGATGGTCACCCACAGGAAAGTGGACTCCGAGATCGTGAACATCATAAGACACCGCTTCTTCACCTGCGTCTACTACCAGCGCAATGTCAACGAGTACTACAATCACCAGCAGTTGTGTCTCAAGGAGAAGGAGGACCTCAAAGAGGCTGACCTCAACTTCTTCATCAAATGTATGCACGCGTTGTGTGTTTGAGTCTAATCGTGAACCAGAATCTAATGCCTCTTTGAATCTATTGATTAGACGGCGATATCGGGCCCTTCACCACAGTTATCGACGCTTTTATGAAACAAAAACATCGACTCATTTTCGAGAGAAGACAGGCGGAGAAGAAGGCGAAGGAGAGCAATGGCAACGACTCGTGAGGCTCTTCACCCAAACACTTCTCACTCAAAGACTTTTAGATATTAATGATTTAAAATAATTTTAGTTTATTGTTTGAAATTTAGGTAAAATGATGATTAAGATAGCATTTAGTGAACAAATTGTTAAGTAAATTGTGATTAACTTTTGAATTTGTTTTGTTTTATTTGCGATTTCTTGTGTTTCTTATTGTTTATAAGTTGAGTCTTATTCTTAACGGTCCTCACGAGTTGTGTCAACGAGCTCTTCGACGAGTCGTTGTTATCGGCGTTTGTTTTGCTATTGGTTTGAGTTTCGTCCGATTTCCTGGACTTCTTCGAGTGACTCATTATCTCATCGAAAGCTTCGGTTCGTTTGAAGTGAGGGTCAGAGGGATCGACGTTATAGTGATGTGACGTATAAACGGCTCCAAAACGTGGGTCTTCGGCGTTGAACTGTTCCACAGAAACAAAACAATTAGTGATTCAAAGAGTTTCAAACGGATTGGACTTACTTTGAAAGAGTCTGTCGTTTCGTGTTTTCTTTTCTTATCATTTGTTTGATTTTCGACAATATTTTTATAATTAAAGTGCTTTTTATCGGAATTCTCGTCGGAGTCCATAAGCAAGAGCTCTAACTCTGGATCTAATTTCTCATTCTTTTTATCATTTTTCTTGTGTTTAGGTTTACGTTTGGTTTTTGTGGTAATCTTTTCATCACTCGATTCCTCGGAATCTAATTCTTCGTCGTCTTCTTCTTCTTCTTTTTCTTCTTCTGCTAATTGTTTAGACTTTTGTTTCCGTTTTTCTTTAATATTACTCAAAGTCTGGTAAAACAAAGAACTGTCTCTTTGTTTCTCCTTTTTCTCGACTATGTCTTCGACCACATCCTTGAGGTTCGGTTCCCACGAGATCTCCATTTCCATGTCTTTCTCATCGCTCTTACTCTCCTTCGGTTCACTCAAAGAACTCAATAACTCTTTGTATTTATTTATCTTATCTTTGGTTCCGAGAGTGGGATCGTCCGCAAAGTCGGGCGTCTGAACCGCTTCCCCGTCGTCCTCCTCTTCGGAAGAAGTGGCCAAATATGCCTTCAGGTCGTCGTCGTCCTCCTCCTTGAATGCCTTCTCGAAGACATGCCGGCGCTTGGGGTCCGTCTCGTCCCAAGTCATGCGGACTTTGCTCTGTTGAAGAGCGCTGTTCACGAATTGCGGCGCTTTGTATGCACTCAAGTCGGGCATCGAATGGCACTCCGATTTGGGCGTCAGTTCCGCGTCGAAAGTCATGTCTTCGGGAATGAACCTGAGGTCCAGTGTCGACGAACTGCTCTCGTACTCGAAGCCGTCGAGTTCGCCGTACAAGACGTCAGCCGTGGCCTCACTGTCACACTCGACCACCGCATAGAAGTACTGCAGTCGTGTCATCTCGTATTGTCTCAACTGTTCGGTAATACGCGAGTCCTTCACGTCTTCGTCCAACTCGTCGTCATCCGTGTCGTCAGCGCTATCATTGGCGTCCCGTTTGTCACGTTTGGCGGCTTTGATGAACTGAATCGGTCCGCTCTCGGCCTCCGCTTTCATGCGCTGTAATCCCAGTTCCGATGGATATATCTTCACGGATAGCACTGAACCGCCGGACGGTTTGAACGAATTGATCAAAACAAACAGATCCGTGGCGTTAATGCGCTCCCAATCGATGTTACAAATGGCCAGTCGTTTGGTCGCCGCCTCCGTTTGCGGCACATCTTTGTCCCATTCGTTCCACTTGTGGTCAATCTCTTCGCCCTCATCGCCGGAACTCTCCTCCGATTCACTACTACTCGACACGTCTTCGCTGTCTTCGTCCGAATCCAATCCTCTGGCGTTCATAAAGAGTGGCTTTTTTGGCACTTTTGCCGCCACTTCGACGTCATCTTCCGGTTTCTTGTCGTCGTCGTCGTCGTCGCCCTCTTTGACCACTTCCTCCTCAGCCGACACTTCATACAAATTCTTGTAATCCTCGCCACTCTTCGTCTGTTTCCCCCTCTTGTCGACCGAATACTTCAGTTTAAACCTCTTTTCGGTGAACATCCGATCAAATCGTTTATCAATTTTCACTTTCTTATCGCTCTTCCGAAGCGTCCGAAAGCGCGGATCACTCGACACGTGAGCGAACCGGTCGTCCATCGCCTGGTCTTTGGCCATCACTTCCACAACACTTGCGATCACTTCTTGGGATCACTTCTTGGGATCAATTATCGGACCAACACTTGAGCCACACTTTGAGCACAACATGTGTTGCCTTTTAATGGGCTTCTCGTATACGGCGTTACGTTTTGAGGGAAATATTTACGAATGACGTAATGGTGTGAACGCGTCGACCAATGGGAGTGCGACTCGTATTTGCAGACATTGTTTGAGTGTTTGTTTGTTTGCCTGAAATCTGACGCAAAACTGCAAACCAATTGTCATTTCATCACATTTTTATCACTCAATCGCTTCTCAAGTGTTTTCTCAAACATGAAGTCTGTGTCCATTTGTCTCGCGTTTGTGGCCATCGTTTTGGTCGCGGCTTCGGTCGACGCCAAGAAGGATCGGATCAAACTGAAGGACCTCCAGGTGCTGACACTGCGACCCGGCGTGTGGACAACGGGCCGCCGCTCGGCTCCCGTACCACAGCTGAAGTGTGTCGGCGGACACTGCGATGCCATCAAAGGCCAGACCGTCCAGTGCTATAACCGCGGCTCCGACGGCACAGACATCCAGTGGGAGTGCAAGACACAGATCGACGCCAACTACAAGTTCGGGGCACTGGACGTGCTCTGCGAGGGCTACGACTACCCCAACGACGACTACGTGTTGGTCGGCTCGTGCGGACTCGAGTACACCATCGATGGCGACGACCGCAAGAGCCAGCAGTCGTGGACCAGCGATCACGTGTACAGCCATCTCAAGAGCAGACCCTCCACTGGCTTCTCGTTTGGATTCGTGATAACTGTCGGCATAATTATATTCATTATATACTACACGTGTCTTCGGACCAACACTCCCGATGGCGACCGACAGCGTAGGGCCGCTGGGGGTCCGCCGCCGCCCGGCTTTCGGTCGGATCACTTCGATGGCAACGACGGGTCCAGTGGTTACGGTGGCGGTTGCGGTGGTTCGTCGACCGGTTCGGCCGGCTTTTCGGGCTTTACGTACGAGCGACAGAACCCGAGGTACGCCAACGCCAATGCCGGTGGGAACGGGTGGTTCACGGGAGCCCTGGCCGGCGGAGCTCTCGGCTATTTGTTTGGCTCCAGAAATAATGCCAATTATAGGGACCAGAGCTCCTACTTTGACAGACATTCGAGGCCTTATACGTCGACGCCCAGGGGTTTCAGCTCCGGGAGCTCTTCCAGTGGTTCCACGACCACTACTACAGGATTTGGTGGAACTAAACGCAGATAAGCCTAAAGTCAATATTTTTAGTAATTGTCTCAAAGACTGATATTTTAATGTTTGGTGTTTGCAATCGATTCTTATTATAACTTAATCCGGTTTTAATTTATTTTTGTAATATATTTACAGTTTAATTCTTAATATGCTTTCAATTGAAATACTTTTTATTATAATTTGTTAGAAGACTTTAGAAATAAAAACAATATTATAATTATTTATACAATAAAATTGGTTCAACAAATGCCTCACATAATCGTTTGTAATATGGTATTACGTAAAATATGAGAATTTGTTTGATTATTATAAAAACTAATAAAATATCTTATAAGATTAAGTTTGTGTTTAGTTTATTTGATTAAATAAGAAAATTGTATGGTAATAATTTAATGAATTAACAATAAAATCTATGGCATTATCAGGTAAATGGAGGGAATACTATAATAAATGGCTACTTGTATGACTACCGTAAACGTATGTAGGATTTATAGATTTCTATCAATTAATGCACTTGTTTTGCAACTAATAATAACTTATAATAGAAAATATGGAAAATATTACAAAACAATTGATGTAAAGCTACAAAAGCTTGCGTTTGATTTGATTACAAGATGTCGATTCTGTTGACTTGAATGTCATGACTGGCACACCACTGATCAGTAAACGGAATGCAATTAAAGTATTTAAATACTTTGATGTCATAAATGGGAACTTTGTATAACAGCACTAATAATGTGATTATAATGAACACAACGATCGCAAAACAACCGGTTTTTATCAATATTTTTCGGGTTCTGTTCTCAGCGGTGATAGTACTCGGGATCAATGCGAATGACAATAAGAGTCCGATTATAAATCCCGTAACTAATAGAAATAGTATTCATTTGTTAATAAATATATTATTTTAATAATAAAACATAACACTTGCCGTGAGCGTAGTTATCAATCCATGGCAGGAATCCTAACATTAATAGCACGGTTGCCACCGCTATCTGTTTCATTAATACTAGGTATGGATTCTCCATGAATTTCCACATATACTTCAACTCAACGAAAAAGTAAGCCATCACTCCGTATAGACTGCCAGCCGGCCCGACCTGTTTCCACGAGTTTCAGTATTATTACATCAAATGTTAACTATTCGGGTTTTAGTTACCATACCTCTGGACGGAATGGTAGGAACACAGCACTCGCTAAATACCCCGTAATACCCGAGACTAAGTAAATGGCGGCCATTCGCGCCCAACCCGTCATTTTCTCGATCTCTTTCATAATGAAGAACTGGAAGAGCGCTGTAATGAGGATATGACCCAAACCCGCGTGAAGGAAGATCGGAGTGAATATCCGGTAGATTTGGTCGGGACTGTCGTCCGAGTAGAACGGAATCATTCCGCACACGTCTCCCATACACGACACCTGTGTTACGGATATTGACGTTTGAATCGGTATTATAAGACAATAAATGTTAAGAAATGACTGACTTGTGAGCAAAGGGTCGCCTCTTCGTGAAAGAAGCCTTTAATGAAATCGCAAAACTCTCGCGTCGTTATGTGACACTCGCCTAAACAGTCAAGAATTATATGTATATTCTGTTAAAACCGTAGATAAATTAAATCTATTCACTATACCATTGATGCCCAGACAACACGGACGGGCTATGAGTTCACACCTCATGTGTGGCTCAAAAATAGCAGCTTTGGTCGACGTTTTGCGACAAATCTTTAATTAGAAAATTGCAAATTCACATCACAATCAATATCACACTTATACCGATATATATATGTAGTGTACAAACCGGCCACTTAGTGATATCGTCGGCCCACTCGTACGGCTCAATAGACGCCGGCTGTTCGCAAAAGCGAGGGTCTTGTCCACAGACTGGACCCGAATTCCTGCCCATACTGTCGGAACCGCCTCTTTCCCATTTGGTGAACGATGAGAGCAATGGCTACAAAACAATTGCATAAAACAATTCAATTCGATGATAATAACAATACTTTACATCTAATATTGATTCAATTGATTCACTTACTGAACATTTATTAGTGTGCGTTTGGACACAACCCGAGCCGTCGTTTCTGATGCAACAACCGGTGGTCTTCTCGTAACTCCTCTCGCCTTCTATTAGTTTGTAGACCTTCTCATCCCTTCGCATACACGGCGTGTACTTAGCGCCCAAATGTATCAAATCGGCCTAAAATTCACAAGACTCAGTGAGTATTAATATAAGTGAATGGACTGGTAGTCCTTGCGCTCACAGAACGGGGTCCAAACCAAAAGTTTTGGAGCTCGAAGTAGTCGACTTGCTGTAGGGACAGACTCTTGACGTACACTAAACCACTGATTTGTGTCTTATCTAAGCCCCAGTGGCCGAACCCATACGCGCTCAACGAGATTATAAGTATCAATATCTGGACGGTTGTGATCCAGTAAGTAAAGAACGGCCGAAAGTCGTCGATATGGTTCTCGAGGTTCGATAGGGATGTGCGCTCCTCTTTCGACAGATCCTTCTTCCGGCGCCGGCCCAGGAGTCTGTCGATGAGTCCTAAACCGAATTCTCGACGATTCGAGTTATCCGTTCGCAGCAATTGCTGGTAAATCTTTCAATGAAAAAGAAATCCACATTCACTTCAACTTAAGACTAATTGAAATCAACTCTTTTTATTGGCTAACACTTAATAAAACCTTTCGATACCTGTTCGGGAATACTCTTCTCCTTAACGGACACTTGTCTCTGAATGGACCACATGTTTGGAGCAGCCATTGGTGGCCTCCGATGACTAGCGTCCACTTCTTCGTGCGACTCGACTCTCGGTTCTGCCGGTTTGACAAAGAAGTCCTCAAAGGATCCGTCAAACGCGTCGTTTTGTAAGAAAACGCTGTCTGCGGTCAACGTTTGCGATCCGTCGCCCCTTTCAAGCCTCGCGTCTCCCGTCTCATCCGGTCTTAAGACCAGTTGATCCGTTCGATTCGATAGTCTCTTCTTTATAGCCTTTAATTTCAAAGACAATCACCGATAAGAATCTGATTCAGGAATGTCTCAAATCGTATCATACATTGGACGCCATTGCGATGGCTTTCATAGTGATCTTAAGGGCAGGCTTTCGAGCGACGTCTTCAGGACTCAAATCTCTTTGTGTTTCTGAAAATGCTGTCATTATTTTAGTTCTTAAGACACCGTCGGTTTCATCAAAACCTGGAGATTCTGTTGTCGTGCGAGCCCTCAATGGGATCACCGGCTCTTCCTATGAGTCATCAATACATGAGTCATGAATTCGGAAGACATTATGAGACCAATTGGTGCGAAGAGTGAGACAAACCTTTTGTTTCAATTTTCCGTAATTACGAAGAAGTCTTCGCCGCCTCTGAAGCCATATGTCGTCGTCGTGTGAGTCACTGTCTTCAGTGATGCCGAAGAGTTGTTGCGCTCCTCTCACAGCCATTCTGTCGGTTCAGACAATCAGACAATGAGTCAAAGAGTGCGCATAAATAGCAGACAATTGATGGCAATTACTGTTTAATGGATTCAGCTCTGGTGACCGTGGGGTTAATCCGGTGCTGATTGCGCGCGGGCTCTGACACCTGCCTTCTGAGCGATGAGTTCCTGCCATCGATGGTGTGGTCGTCGTTGCCGTCAAACATAGGGTTCGCGTGAATGGAGGCCGAGCTCGTGGTGACCGTCTCTTGTGGTGTAGTCATCCTCGGATCTAAACTAACCGCTCGTCTCAATTGGTGCTCATTTTGGTCGCTATTGTCGTCGTTATAGTCTTGCATTGGATTTGCTATGAGATCATAGATTAGATAACTTTGGCGTTTGTTTGGAAGTCATTAGTCAACAGTGAATGTGATGTGAAATGATTTCAAGTATGCAGTGATAAGAGTTTATCTCTTGTTTACAGACCATAGGTATTCATCACTCAATGCATGCATACAATGATAAACAACACAATACTGACTGTGCGTTGAATGCGAGGTATTTATAGACTCGTCGCTGTACCTCATCATAACCCTCCCCACTGTTAACATACAGCAAATACAGGTGTGCGATGAATGTGTTTGCCCAGGGTTATAAAATTCTGATTAATTCTCATTGTTTTGATTACACACTCGAACTGAAGTATAGCAAGAATATTGAATAATTGAATATGAATTTATTGAGTCTATGTACCGGTACTTCATATACTTTGTACTGTTATCATACTTTACATACACTTTTGTAAATCATAAACTTTATTGTGTAATAAAAAACAATTATTTTTCATTTGAATGATTGGACTTTACAAATAAAATTCTCTATAAAATAAAAGTTAAAAATAAAAAAAACTCAAATAATAATAATCATAAAAATCAAAATCAGACTAAAAGCGACTGCGAGTTGAAGCGCCGTTTGAGTAGTGATTATGTCTATAAAACTTTGACTACAATATCAATTGACTCCGGAGTTCGCACCACGCGTTTCAGATCTCGATGTCGAGAGGAATCTCGTCGATGGCATAGTATTTGTGTTGAATAGAGTTCTCGTATACTCTGACCACTCGGAGACCGCTCTTATCGGTGCCGAGTTGGGCGCCGACCGCCGACGTCACCACGAGCTCCATGTCTTTGTAGAAACCGCCGGCGTTTCGGTGATAGTGTCCGGTGAATATGTATCGGACGCCCGCGCCGTACAACTGGTCCAGCAGTCGGAGTCGCAGCTCTTTCTCGACGTTGAAGTAGTCGTCCTCTTCGTCCGCCTCCTTCAGAAACCACGGAATGTGTTGGAAGACAACGATGTGTTTGTATTGACTGCGCTTATATTCCTCGAGAACGGTGTCCAACCATTGACTCTGCTTTCGTGCCAACTCCTGCACGTGAGTGATGTCTTTGAAGTACTGCGAGTTCAACACCACGAAGAGGACGCCTCCGCACACCCACGAGAAGTAGTCGTCACCGAAGTCTTTGCGGTATTCGTCGATGGACTGCTGGGTGGGAGTGTCGCCCACGTCATGATTGCCGCAGACGCACACCAATGGGATGTCGCGATCGAGATGACGGAAGCACTTCTTGAAGTCGCGAATCTGCGGCCGTTTGTCCGGATGTCCGGGCATTGCGTTCACTAAATCGCCGCAAACTATGAAGAATCGCGGCTTCGGTGTCATGGCGTTGGCCCGTCGGACGGCCTCTTCGGTCAATTGGATCTCTTTATCCCAATTGGGGTTCGGGTTCTTGAAGTAGTCGTCAATCATTCCCAACTGAGTGTCGGCGCTCTGGATGAAGACGAACGGCGCTCTCCACTCGCGCTCTTCAGCTATACATTCAAATCACATCTCGTGTTAGCAATCAGTGGTATAACTCTTCGCAGAGACTTATAAGACAACTAACTCTTATCGAAAGCGTCGAGCGAGCCGTCGATGGCGTGTATCCGCCACTCACTGCCAGATTCAGTCATCTCTTGGGATCAGATACTTATGGACAAGACGTCGATGCGTGGCCTCCAGTGAGACGACGATTACATTGAGAGCATGTGATCGCAGATCAGACACAAGCAGACAGTCAGACAGACTCAGTGGTGAGCGTCGCTGACAGTGAGCAGCGGTGCGCATATGATCAAGGTGATCAAGGTGCTTTCACTGGCTATTGTATTTCAAATACAGCTTTTGTATAGCTTACTGTATTTCAGCCTAGAAGTGCATATCGCACCGGCATTACTGCCCCCCACAGGCTTTACGCATGCATTGGTGTCACGCTATACGCGACTGGCCCTCAGTTATTGCGTTTGAAACGGAAAACAAGGCATACGTTGTCTGCGACGGGACTGCGATAGAGACAAAGCACATGATTGTGGTGATGGCCGTTAACTAAACGACTGTCCGATCAGACTATATATGCACTCAATTGGCCGAACTATTGGACGGACACAGCGATCGGCGACCGGTGGAGCTGTCTATATATACTACCAATTAATACAGCGATTGTTATATTTAGCGATCATTTGACCACATTTGACGCGTTTGGCGTTCACTACCACGTCTTGGGATCAGTTGTCGTGGTGTTTGTGTCCCGAGGCATCCCATAAGCTGTTTGTGAATTCATTTTATTTTATTTTTTTCACTATATTTTACGCCAAGTTTTGTAACCCAGAGTTGATTTGAAGGCAAAGTTTTTGGTAAACTATAAGCCGTTTGGAGATTACGATTGATCACTGGATTAACATTTCGTTTGCCACTCTTTATAGATATATACATCTGAAGGGATCTGATCCGCTCGCGTGTCTGTGCGCCCAAACAGTGGCCACCAAATTGACTGTTATATCGGTGTCTCTGATCTCGTGGTGACCGCAATGGAGGGCAACAATAGGCTGCGATCGACTAATTTCAAGAACAAAGGCAAAGACGCGGAAGAGATGCGCCGAAGACGTAATGAGATGAGCGTCGAGTTGAGGAAAAACAAGAGGGACGAGACGCTGCTGAAGAGGCGCAACGTTCCCGTGGACTGCGACGCCTACTCCGAGACGGACGCCGCCAACGACTACATTAGTCTGCAGTCGATTGTGGTGTCGGCCGCCAGTGATAACATCGACGAGCAGTTGAACGCCGTGAAGGCCGCCCGCAAACTACTCTCGAGTGATAAAAACCCGCCGATCGACGAACTGATCCGTTCGGGCATTCTTCCAATACTCGTGAAATGTCTGCAACAGCACACGTCGGCGCCCCTCCAGTTCGAGAGCGCGTGGGCCCTCACGAACATCGCGTCGGGAACCGCTCAGCAGACGCGCGCCGTCGTGGAGGCCGGAGCTGTTCCCATATTCCTGGAGCTCCTACACTCGCCCAACGAGAACGTGTGCGAACAGGCCGTGTGGGCGTTGGGCAACATCATCGGCGACGGCCCTCAACTCCGCGATTACGTGATCGGGTTGGGAGTGGTGGAGCCGCTCCTGGAGCTCATTAAGCCGGACATGTCGCTGTCGTTCCTGCGCAACGTGACCTGGGTCATCGTGAACCTGTGCCGAAACAAAGACCCGCCCCCTCCCACGGACACCATTCAGCGGCTGATGCCGGCGCTCGCCTACCTGATCAACCACACGGATGTGGCGATTCTCGTGGACACCGTGTGGGCCGTCTCCTACCTGACGGACGGCGGCAACGATCAGATCCAGTTAGTGATCGACAGCGGAATTGTCGCTAATTTAGTTCCGTTACTGAGTCACCGGGAAGTGAAGGTACAAACGGCTGCCCTCCGGGCGGTCGGCAATATAGTGACCGGAACTGACGAACAGACGCAAGTGGTGCTCAACTGCAACGCGTTGTCGCACTTCCCGACCCTATTATCTCATCCGAAGGAGAAGATCAACAAAGAGGCCGTTTGGTTCCTGTCGAACATCACCGCCGGGAACCAGCAACAGGTGCAGGCGGTGATCGACGCCGGACTCATACCACTCGTCGTCCATCATCTGTCGAAGAGCGAGTTCCTGACGCAGCGGGAGGCCGCCTGGGCCGTCAGCAATATGACCATCAGTGGCAACAAACAACAGATCTCGTTCCTCGTGGACCAGGGCGTCATCGAACCCCTCTGCGCCCTCCTGTCCGTCAAAGACGTGCAGGTGGTTCAGGTGGTGTTGGACGCGCTCATGAATGTGCTGAAGATGTCCGGCTCGCAGTACTCGGCGATCGCCACGGAGATCGAGAAGTGCGGCGGTCTGGACCGCATTGAGCCCCTCCAGCACCACGAGAACGAAGACATCTATAAGCTGGCGTACGAGATAATCGACCAGTTCTTCAGCGATGACAATGAAGAGGACCCCATAGTGGCCCCCAAAGGCACAGACGGCACGTTCGAGTTCGACCCCAACTCGCAAATACCAGAGACTGGCTTTCAGTTCTAGACATCAATTGTGTGGCGATTATTACAAGACATTAATTATCTCAAGACTTTTTATTGTATATTTTCGATCGACTTTTTCACAACACTTTTCGCTAAGAGTTTCCATAATTTTAAAAGTTTTTTTTCCTTTAGAAACCAATTTCTTTCAATTAATTGATGATTAAATCTGTTTTTGTTTGTTTTTTCTCCAAATTATGACATTAAATACAACCCTTTTTGTTGCAATCGATTCGCGATTTCTTAACTTAATATTCAAACAGCATTTGTATTTCCATTCAAATTCCAAACGATTGTAATTATTGATTAAATTGAGGGTTTGATTATCACTTGATTTAAGACTGTTTTTCCTGTCATTTCGTTAGCCATTTGTATAAAATTTATAGAATTTGATTGAATGCATGAAATGGTGATCACGACCTGATCATCAGGTATATGACATATGGACTGTATTCTCAAATGACCAATAAAAGCATATTCATTATTATAATCTCAAAATTTATTTTAATATAATTTAATTACAAACGAAAACATATTATTAAATGATTTGAGAAATGCATAAATGATTTGAAATGATAGCAAAACATGAGTGTCGACGACGTGAGCGCAAGGGAACGGCGTTTAAGTGTATAAATCAAAGTCTATGCGTTTGGAGCTATAGAACTGGGAGTCAGCCTTTCCAAGTTGGCGGACATATACCCCGCTCTCGAAGTAGCCGTCGTTCACCCACTGAAGCATTTGGTCGCTGGTGTGCGGGCCGTACACTTTGGCGGCGTCCGTGTCCTCCCACTTGAACTCCCATTTGATTTCATTGTTCGGTTCGTCCGATTCCTCCGGTTTTTCGGTCTTCTTATTAGAGTCGAAGTCATCGGAAAACATATCCGATTCGACAGAACTCTGGCCCGACTTCTTGGATAACGTGAAGACTAAGTGTTCGTACGATTTCTGGTAGACATCCATATCTCCCGTCTGGAGCACCGAATCGGCCAAAGACGACAACTTCATGAGCTTCGTCTTCGCCTCCATCTGTTTGTCCGACAACTCAATGGTCTTGTCTTTCTTCCAGCGATCCGATGGCTTCGGCTTCGGGTAACACTTCCCGAGCCTTTGGATCGCTTTCTCGACCGTCTCTTTCGGCTCCATTAACTCAATCATCTGTTTGTAGGTATCGTTCAAATCGATACGCGCTTTGGGATCGGCTTCCGCGTCATCATCCGCTGTGCCACTCGTTTCGGTGCCGTTATTATCACCACCGGATGGCCTGATCTGTTGCCAATCGATGTGATCCAACCAATTATCCCTAATATCCTCGGATTTGTTGAATATATAAGTGCCGTCTTTGTCGAAGTGTCCGCTTTCCAGCTCTTCCTTCATATTGAATGGTGTCATCTGAACGCCCGCCTCGGCGTCAGGTGTGGCCTCTTCCTGGCCGTCGATCTGATCCGAGTCCAAGACGTTATAGTTTTCTTCAATGAGCTCATCGTCCTCTTCATCGCTATCTAACGTGTGTTTGAATTTTTTGCCAAACTTTAGGTCCGATACATAACTGCCTTCAGCGGCATCTTCAGCGACACCGTTGTCCTCATTGTCCTCATTGTGGTCAGAGTTGTGATCAGAGTTGTGGTCATACTCTACATCATCGCTGAACTGAACCTTTCGTTTAGACATCTTTGATGACAATTATCCACAAAACAGCGATTCAAACGCCAAACCAATGTTTACATCCACTGCTCACTAGTGTTCGCATAAGGGCTCATCATATTTACCTTGCTTATTAAATAGTCATTTAAGTGCTTAACAATTATCATAAAACAGTTATATTGACAGTGCACTCCTATCACAATAACCATGGTCAACTTATAATGTAGTTGTTAGTGAAACATGTCTATAGTTTACGTTAAAAAGTTTTGTTAACGGATTACATAATCAAACACTACTCGAGACTTGTTTTGAATGTTTTTTATGTTTTGTTGTGTTTTTTGTCAACAAATTTGTGTTTATTTTGAGCAAAACTGACGTTCAGTTTCTGAAGTGTCGGTCAATTAAGTGTTAAATTGAACGCCAGTTACAGAGACATCGGAAGCGTTTGAAAGACAGACACCATCCGTGAGTAATGTCGCGAACTTTTACGGCAAACGATGTCCAGAAAATCAGATTAGAGAAGCTGATGAAGAATCCGGTGATTATTGCTTAAGACTATTGCTTTCACCATTCAATGGATCCATTAATTGACACGATTTGTGTATCTTTTAGGACAAACCGATTGACAT